TCCTCCAACCACACCACCGTCCCCTCCACCAAATACTCCACCATCTCCTCCAATCACACCACCGTTCCCTCCACCACAGAGTCCACCTCTTCCTCCTCCAACCACACCACCGTCCCCTCCGCCAAAGATTCCACCACCGTATACACCACCACAGAGTCCACCTCCTCCTCCAACCACACCACCGTCCCCTCCACCAAAGAGTCCACCACCTCCTCCAACAACACCACCGTCCCCTCCACCAAAGAGTCCACCACCTCCTCCAATCACACCACCGTCCCCTCCACCAAAGAGTCCACCACCTCCTCCTCCAACCACCCCACCACCTCCTCCCCCGCGTGGCACATGTCCCAGGAATGCCGGCCAACTAAATGCATGTTCCAATGTCATTAGACGTTTTGGAAATTTCCTAGACTTTGAAATGGCGCAGCCATGTTGCTCCCTCATCCGTGATCTATCTGATGCTGAAGCAGCTGCTTGCCTATGTGAMTTGGTGAGAGCACAACGTTCCACTCMTTCTCCTGATATCATTATRCTCTGTAAGGCTTGTGGTCGCAACATCCCCCGAGGCTTCACCTGCCCATGATCACTTCCGTGTCTCCTTCTAATTACCTAAATATACTAAAACTTACTCACTACTTAAACCACAACTAAAGCATTGTGGCTTTTTACTTTCTACAAATAATATGTAATATGACATCAATAAAGTTTATCTAATTCTAAAACATTGAGTTTATAGATATCTCTACGTCATAAATTGTCCCGTACAATGAATCAATTGATAGATTAAATTAAATCTCAAAGAAAATGGTTACACACTTTTCTGTTGTTCTCTATGTTATTGCTTCAATATTTTTAATATATGAAATTTTCTGAACCGATGTTAGATTCACTCTAAAACATTGATATACTCATTAACTAGTAAGAAAAAAAAATATGGAGTGGAGAATCAAAAGTTCTCACTCATAATACACTTTCACGGCTTCAAAAACGTTATAACATTGATGAGACCTCTTAAATTTATATATTTAAAAAAAGTCTCGGAAGCCTAAGTTTCATACGTCTAACTACACAAATCTTTTTTCTTACAATTTTTCGATTTTCCCATTCATTCCTCGTGGAGCCTTCTTCTCCTCATTCTTTCCGTTGACGAATTTTCTAGAATAGTTCACAAATCTAAATCGGTTATTAATCATTCAAGATTATTCATGTCATTTTTTACAAATAAATTCAGTTAAATTCACTAATATAATATTGACAAGGCTTGAGTACCATCACTATGGCGATTCAGCAAGGGACATAAACTTGAGATCTACAATCAGTCATTCTCCTCGATCTATGTGTACCTAGTATCATATCCGATCCGCCTCTGATTTTGACGTGTGGAGTGGAGTTATGTGGTATGGTTTTGAGACGCAACCCTGAAATATGTCTTCTTGACCAAGCTCGCTATACAAAAAAAAAAAGGTTAGATACCGGAAGATACGGGAAAATGGGGAAATTATTTGTTTACATATCATATATCCTTATAGACAAAGTCAATCATAATTCATGAAAGGAAAAATTGTTTAGTATAATCGTGTACTCGCACTA